CTCAGACCCTAAAAAGGTGCTGTTCTTCCCCTCAATAAAAAAATATTATCCCTGACTATAAGGATGATAACTGCAATGAAGGAAAACCTATAAAAAGGAAAACAGGAATGATTAAGGATGTCATCAAAGACTTCCTTCCCTGAGGAAGTTTCTTTAAAGATTTTTCCCCTTTATTAGTACATTTTAATTATACAGAATAATGGATTTAACTGTGGCATATTTGTACGTGGAAATAACATACACTGATCAGCTGAGGAAGTTTTTAACTAAGCTGAGATTTAAAGTAAAAAGAAAGGAACAAGACTTTTAGGTAGAAGAAAGTATTTTAAATCCCCTTACAGGAAGAACAAAAAGAAGGCAAGTACCTAGTTCAAAGAAAGTAAGGTGCACAATAGGAGGTAAGGGTGAAGAGGCAGCTGAAATCCTCATTATGTAGGGGGTTTAGGTCATGTTAAGGATTTGGGAATTTATCTGAAAAAGCACTGGCATGAGACAACCAAACATTGGGTGCTCATACCATGAAGAAATGTGAAGTACCCAGCATCACCTATGAGTATCCTTGTTTAAAGAGAGGATCCTAAATCTAGCTGGGCCTTTGGAGCTAACTTCCAGGTATAGGAAATATGGGAAATGGAAGAACAAGTTAAATAATCCCACAAGGAAGTAATCAGACAAATCCAAAATATGGAACATTCTCAGTAACAATCAAGTCAGTTCACACAGAGAAAATTACGTGACAAAAAACAGACAGGAGAGAAGACATACTCTAGATGACTAGACCAAATAGAACTCAAGAACATTGTTTAGATGCTTATTGGAACAACTCAACTGTTTTTTTCTTTAAAGAAAAAAAAGGCACTTTCAAGTAACTGGTGAAATTTGAATGTACTATAATGATACTAAGGAATTAATGTTACAAAATTTTAAAAATATGTTGCTTTCCTGTTGAAGTTGTGATCTTGATAGCACAAACTGTATGTAAAATAGGTATCTAGGATGCATGGCTAATGCTGATGCTGAATTTGAGTATTACAAATTTAGGAAAAAAGTCAAGAATCCCTGAGAAATAATTTGTATCTTTTCAGAATTATGAATTTTAGAGTTTTGAAATGACAAAGAGAAATTATCCAGTCAAATTCATCTTGCTTTCTGATCATCATGAGAGCTCCTTTTCTTGCCACACTCTTCTGCCATGATGTTCTACTACACTGTGAGCCCCAAGGAATGGAGCCTACTGTCTATGGTTTGAGACCTCTGAAACCATGGGCCCTAAATAAATTTTTCCTTCCCTAAAATTGTTCTGGTTGATTACTTTAGTCACAGCAGTGAAAAAGCTGACTAAAACAGAAATTGGTACCAAGAAGTGGGGTCATTCCTGTGACTAACCTGACCATGTGGTTCATAAGTTGTTGGAGCTTTTTGGAATTGGTAGGAGGAATTTTGAGATGTGTAGCAGCACAAGCTTGGATTACTTCAGATTACTGTAAGCAGAGATTAATGGCCAATTCTGATGGGAACTCAAAAGAACAGAATGCCAACAGGACTGTGAAGACAGGGCTCAAGAGGGTTCAGAAAAGGAGGATCCTATTAAAATCTGGAGTAGAGGCTATTAGTGTTATGTTCTGAGAAACTGTCTTCACTTTGCCTGTATCCTGAGACTTTCTGTGAGGCTGATTTTAAAAGCGATGTACTTCTTAATCTGGTAGAAGAAATTTTTGGATAGCATAGCATTCAGGAAGTGGCATGGATATTGCTGGTGACTTTTAGCCAAATTTATTCTGATATTCAGGAGTAGAAAAAAAAAGAAATATTTGAAAAACTTGAACTTGAAAAGCAGGAATAAAACTGGGGATATGGAAGTTGCAAGTGTTAAAAACATTACTGCCACTAAATAAATCCTGAAGATTTTGCTCAGAGACAATAAGAAAGATTGCTTCAGGAACTGGCAAGACCATACCTAGCTCAAGCTCAAGGGAATAAAAGAGAAAATTCTCTTGAGAAGAGACCAGTGGGGCACCCTTCTTGCACAAGGGAGCCTAGGAAGTTGTTCAACATGCTCAGCTACTCAGGCACTCAGAGGTTGCTACAGCCAGGGTCCCTGGAGGCTTGGCTACTGCTCGAGATGGTGGCAGACCTTGGCATCAACCACATGGTGCTGGTTTTGCAGGAATGCTGTATGCTGAAGTTAGAGGGTCATGGAGGCTTCTACCAAGATTTCAAAGGAAGAACTGGGAGTGCAGGCAAGGTTCAGCAGGGTCAGAGTCCCTGTGGGCATCCCCTGAGAAAGCAAAGTGTGGAGATATGACGAGGAAGCTGAAGCTGCAGTGGAAACCCCCAAGATTAAGAAATGCTTTTAACATGGGACATCATCCTAGGAAAGCTGCAAGAATCTAGCAGAAATAAGCCAACAGGAAGGCCACTTGGGCTGCAACCAACAAAGCCACAGGGGTGGAACTACACAAGCCCTTTGGAGAGAATACCACAATGCCATATGTCCCAGTTGCTGGATATGAAGCTACAAGACTTGTTTGCTCAGCTGGATTTTGGTCTTGCTTTGATCCTATCTCTTCTTTCTATGCCCCTAATTTTGTGAATGGAAATATTTACTCTGTACCATTATATATTGTATACCTGTAAATTGCTTTTATTTTTACAGGACCTCAAAATGCAAGATTGCCTTGAGCTTCAGAGAAGACTTTGGACTTGAACTTTGAGCAATCTTGGAAGAGTTAACACTATAGGGAGTTTTGGGAATGGACTAAATGTATTTTACATTGTCAGATGAGTGTGAGCTTTTGGGGGCCAGGGCTGGAAAGTTATGGTTTGAATGTGAGTGTACCCCAAAAGCTCAGGTGTGAGACAATGCAAGAAGGTTCAGAGGAGAAATGACTGGGTTGTTAAGAGTCCTAACCCAGTCAGCGAATTAATTCCCTAACAGTGATTAGCTGAGTGGTAACTGAAGTGGTAGGGTGTGGCTAGACAAGGTGGGACATTGGAGGCGTGGCTCTGGCATGTATATTTGTATTTGGCAAGTGGAGACCTCTCTCTGCTTTCTGATCACCATGTGAGCTGCTTCCCTCTAATACACTCTTCTGCTATGATGTTCTGCCTCACCCTGAGCCCAGAGGAATGGAGCCTGCTATCTATGGATTGAGACTTCTGAAACTATGAGCCCCTAAATGAACTTTTCCTCCTTTAAAAAAAAAAAAATCATCTTAAGCATGAGGAAAAGAGCACAGAGCTCAGTAGGGGTACAGCTGGTTTGTAAGGCAGGCTTCTGTGGTAAGCCCACGTTATACTTCTTTCAGTGTAGATTACAGGGAGGTTCTTATAGCTCACAACTACATAGCTCACAACTCAATTATTTCTCCTTCCTCTTTTCATTTGTATTCTCACTCTTCCTCCCAACTTTTATCTCCAGGCATTTTAATTTATATTCACTTGACAACTTTTACTTTCCTTAGGAAAGCTGCCAAAGGTAATGATAACTGAGAAGGAATCATAATGAGCAAAGGGAAAACATTTCAAAATCAAGGTAAAATTAAGAAAAAAAAACAGCTGCTACTTCAAGATTTTTCCAGATTTATATAGCTACTTCATCCCCCTGGCCTTCATGGTCACATTTTGTTCCTAAGTTCTGTCAGTGAACCCACAGGAGCTTGCTATCAATTGTGCAATTCTCAAAGGAAAAAAGGACTTAAACCATTGTGACCTAAAGAATGGATGTGGCTGAAATACCCTCTTACTTTCCCTTCTTTTTTCTTGTCCTTCATCTGTTCTTTTAAAAAATCACAGCTAATGAAAGACCAGAAATAAAAATATTATTAATTATCATAAGCATCTTAATAATATGTTGCTTTTTAAACTATGCATATTACTTTAGTAAAATTATTAAAGTTTAGAAAACTGAAGTATAGCTATCTAGAAAATTTTAACACTATATGGAAAAATTAAACTCAGCCTATACACTTATGGATTTATACTATATGCCAGGCAACCAAAATATGAGTTTAGACAATAAGTTAAACTAATGTCAACTACTCCAAAGAATTACAATTGTAGCATACAAAGGGATAGAAATGTGGGATTAATTAAGTATAAACTAAGTGGAGAATATGTGCTTCTGGGGCCTACTACATAAAAATGATGGCCATCTTCTACTAAATTTCTCCATCGTGTTATATTATACATATAAATTATCACTAATCCTCATAACAAGCCTAGATCAGACAAATTTCACAAATGAGTAAAAGATAGTACCAGAATTTTAATAAGACTGACTCCAAGTTCATATTCTTTCCATTGTGACATAAAAAATACATATCCAATTTAAATTTAGGAGAAAAAAATTATGTTTTTTATTCCTATTTTATGTAACAGCAGCTAATTTTTACCATACCCCATGGTCAAGGCTGACATTCAGCTGCTATGTTCTGATGTGGCAATAAGAACAGAAAGCTGTACTGATTGGTTGGATGTCTGTTCCGCTTGATTGGTGCCCCTGTCATATTGATCATTAACGATTTTGATTATCACACCTATACAAGGAACAGAACTCTGAGTTCTCAAATACTTCAAATATTTACATATTTGAAGTCATAAAATAACACTTTATGACACATAATAACATTTATGCCTATAGGTATCCCAGCTCTACTTATGAGCAAACCTTGGCTGGTCTTCCCTCTAAGTAAGAACATGTTAAGATGCCCAACTTTAGTAGAAGCCTAATCTTTGCCATATTTATATATGCCAAATCATGGGGCACATCTTTAAATCAGCAGTATTTTTAAATACAAAATTATTATACTCTAGCTTTCTGTCAGCGAGTCAACCTTGAAGTATCTATCATCTTGCTTTTTCTTGCATTACACAGAAAAAGGACCTCAGAGGTTTTTTCCTTAAAATATCAAGGATTCAAAAATTCAAAAATGAAGATTTTTAAGAAGCCAACTTGAAATCATAACAAAAAGAAGTGTGATTTACTTCTGAGAGCTTCATGCACTAGATTTATTTGTAAGTTAATTATGAGAAAACTAGTTTGCCTGTAAAATGTTGTACAAGCTCCCTCAACTGGCTAAAATACAGAACTACCAAAAAACATGTTCCATTAAATTGACTGTATCTTCTTCTTCAGAAATTTCTGCAACTCCAGCCTGAGATCGAAGAATGGATATGATGTCATTAGATAATTTGTCAAAGCCATTCTGTAAACATATATTTGCCAATTGTTGCCACATTTCTAGGGAGCAATATGAATCATTTATCACAAGATGTTCTACTGCATCTGAGAAGAAAAATACAATATTACAGTATAGTACTTATCTGATAATCCACACTTAGTGATTCTTCTTCTTCTTTTTCTTTTTTCAGTACAGGGGACTGAACCCAGGGGCCCTTAACCGTTGAGTTCTATCCCCGGTCGTTTCTATTTTTTGAGACAGGCTCTCACTAAGTTGCTTAGGACCTCACTAAATTGCCCAAGCTGGCCTCAAACTTATGATCCTCCTACCCCAGCCTCCCAAGCCACTGGGACTACAGGCATGTGCCACCATGCTGGGTTTAGTGATTCTTAAAAAAAAAAAAAGGGACATAGTTTCACCTGAGTTACTTTTGAACTCTACCTGATTTCCATTAAGTTTAATGATATAACATTTAGTATGCTTAGACCTGCTCAGGTTAAGTTTTCAACTGTTAGTTCCTTCTCCCCCTTTATCATTTCTCAATTCAGCCCTCTACCATTTTCCACATTCCACACTTCTCCACTCATCTCCTTTTGGATAAGGTAGTAGACACTCTGAAGGCTATAAGGTAAGGAGCTCAGAAAGTGAAGAGTGTGGGCTCTTCCTTATTCACAGAGCCTATAATGCTCTACCAGAATTTGTCAAATAACTAAGGATCTGTTGCCCGAGTTCTCATGATTCTTCAAGCACTTCAGTAAATGCCTTAGTAGTGCTGTCCCAAGGGTTTCAGAAACTCTTAGGCAAATCTTCCACCATTTCCCTAAATGGAAGCCTCGAAGCCACATCCTTAATGTGGTTTCTATAGCAAATGATTTTCTAAAGAAATAATTTTGTTTTTAAGTGAAATCTAATGACATTATTTACTTTTAAAAGTCAATTAGTGACTCTGTGATCTATCAATTTATGTAATTAATTTTTTTAATTAGTGCATTATAATTATACATAATAGTGAGATTCTACAAAATGAATTTCTTACCAATTACCTGCATTTACTTAGTGATACTTAATAAAAGAGGATTTCTCTTTGGAATAGTTACTGCTATTATTTTATTTATACCACAATTGTAATTTATTTTCCTATCAAATATTTTAGATAATATCTGTAATGAGAATTTCAAAATATTAAATTATCTTCACAAATATGTTTTCAGGCAATTACATGTGGTGGTAAACATCTGTAATTCCAGCAATTTGGGAAGATGAGGCAGGAGGATTGCAAGTTCAAAGACAGCCTCAGCAACTTAGTAAGGCTCTGAGCAACTTAGTGAGATCCTATCAAAATAAAAAGGGCTGGGGATGTGGCTCAGTGGTAAAGCACCTCTGAACTTTACTCAACCCCCAATATCAAAAAATAAAAATAAAAAATGAAATCAAACTGTCTGCTCAAATTCATGTTAAATTAATGAAAGAGAAAAAAAGTGAATTTTAAAAAATTCTCTATCCCACTGCAGTTCAGTTCAGAATGATTATCATATTAAATATTCATATATTTGGTTTAGAAATTAAAATACATGTTTATATCTAAATAATATTTAATAAAATACACATAAAATATTGCTAAAAGTACACATACAGGCTGGGGATGTGGCTCAAGCGGTAGCGCGCTCGCCTGGCATGCGTGCGGCCTGGTTTCGATCCTCAGCACCACATACAAAGATGTTGTGTCCGCTGAAAACTAAAAAATAAATATTAAAATTCCCCCCCCCCCCCTTTCCCTCTTTAAAAAAAAGTACACATACATTAATATATGTAAAGTTTTATAATTTATAAAAGTGTTAGCTATCAATTGTTATTGCATTCCCCTCTGGCTTTAAAAAGATTTTCTCTTCATTCTAATTCTCTTAAGAAATATATAGTATTGTCAATAGACTATTATTGGCATGGAATTGTTATATTTACAAACTCCTAACTCTTTTTTTGCAGGGAATACTATCCCTAGTATTCCCCTAACACTTTTTATTTTTGTATATTGAGATAGGATCGCACTAAATTGCCCAAACTGGCCTCCAAATTGAAATCCTCCTGCCTCAATCTCCCAAGTAGCTGGGATTACAGGCATGTGCCAATGTTACCAGCCTCAAATTAATTCTTTTTCTTTTTTATTTTTTTATACCTTTATTTTATTTATTTATTTTTATGATGCTGAGGATCAAACCCAGAGCCTGGCACGTACTACCTCTAAGTGCTCTACCTCTAAGCCACAACCCCTCAGATTAATTCTTGCTAAGAAGGAACCCTAAGGAAAATTTGTGTTAACTTGTACATAACTATCTTGAACCTTTCCTTAAATAATCCACTAATATTTCTTTCACAACAACATTTTACTCTACTTACCTGTCCCACCTTTGTTTATTTCTTGGAGTAGCTTAATGCCAACTTTTTCCATATTCACAGAGAACAGATGAAGTATGGCAAGTCCAAAAGATAAAAATGGTGGTCTCCCATTCTTTTCTTCAGTGAGACATTGAATTAGTTCAGTTTGAGGACATAATGTTATTAGCTTCATCAGGTCATCTGAAAGTAAAAATGAAAAATTATCTCAGCATCCTGATATAACCTAGGTGTTTCAAAATTCTGAAATAAACATTATTTCCTTAGTTTTTTCAATTTTAACACTTTAGAATATTATATATGACAGATAAGTTCAGTAATTTTAAAATAGCCCTATGTAGCCTGGTCCAGCATATCCATTAAAGTTATCTTTAAGAGTATATATTTCCATTTATACCCAAAGGACTTAAAATCAACATACTACAGTAATGCAGCCACATCAATGTTTATAGCAGCTCAATTCACAATAGCTAAACTATGGAACCTACCTACCTAGGTATCCTTCAATAGATGAATGGATAAAGAAAATGTGGTATATATATTCAATGGAATATTGCTTATCTTTAAAGAAGAATAAAATTATGGCATTTGCCAATAAATGAATGGAGTTGGAGAATATCATGCTAAGCGAAATAAACCAACCCCCAAAAACCAAAGGCCGAATGTTTTCTCTAATATGTGGATGCTAACTCACAATAAGGCGGTGGGAAGGGGGGTGGGGGGGCACTAGAGAAGAATAGTGTTACCTTAGATTAGGTAGAGGGAAGTGAAGGGAAGAGAGGGGATAAAGGGATATGAAAGATGGTGGAATGAAACAAACATTATTACTTTATGTATATGTGTGACTGCATGACCAATATGATTCTGCAACATGTACACTCAGAAAAAAGAGAAATTATATCCTATCTATGTATGATATATCAAAGTGCATAAATGCATTCTACTGTCATGTATAACTAATTAAAACAAGATTTTTTAAAAGACTATATATTTCTAATATCATCTAATTTACTAATGTTTTGGGAAAATGCATAATGAATTTTAATGTCTACCATGAAATTCAATTAGCTCCATCTTAACTATTTTCATGAAAAATTACAAAAGAAATATCCTACTTATCAATATGTATAAAATAGATTCTATAATGTAAATTTAAAATAATGCCTGCTGTGATCAGTGATCTTAGAAGTCAAGTCCAGAATTTGAATGTACACAAATAAGTAGTCTCTTTTATTTACCAGGAGTAAAGTCCTTGAATTGTTGTAAGTATTCTATGGCCCCATGGATCTGACCCTGTTTACACAGGCAAAGGAGAACTTTCTTATGCAGGCCACATTCACTGTAGATAATCTGAGCTAAAGCCAGGCACTTGGCTTTGTTAAAAGTATCTTGTTCCCCATAATCATAAATCACATCCCCAGCCTTCTCTGAAAATGTCAGCCTAGAGCAAGCAGATCAATAAGGCACACATTAGAGAAATCTTGATGAGTAGCTGAGACTGAAATATTTGAAAATTCAGCATGACTTCTCTATACCTTATAATGATTCCAAATCAGTAGACAATTGATATAAAAGAAATTAAACATATCTGAGATTTAACAACAACAAATGAACAAGTATTATTTGGGGGGAAGACATTTTGGTGAAACTGATATCAAGTTTTTAAAACATCTACAAACCCCAGCAACTCAGGAGGCTGAGGCAGGAGGATCACAAGTTCAAGGCCAGCCTCAGAAATTTAGCAAGACCCTGTCTCAAAAGAAAAAAAAAATCAGATTAAAAAAAATCTATAAACAAAGTTAAAACTCTCCTGATAATATGGACAGGACTTAAAATTACAAGATAAACAAAACTTCTCTTAGAATTGGGGGTCACAATATTCTCAGCAGCTACATAGAGTCCAGAACTGTAGAATATAAAGAACTTATTAATTGTTGGTTAAAGATGGAACAATTTTACCTCAAAATTAGTGATAGATCTTTCAAGAAACATTTGTACTAAAAAGAAAACAGAGAAAGTATGACAGCATTGTTACTTTTAAAATTTGTTATAGATTTATAAGAAGCAACGGGGGAGAAAAGACATAACTGTGCCTATTAGGAGAGATAAAAACTGAAGAAGCACTTCTTTTGAGACAGCTTGATCGAATAGATTTCATTTGCCTTTTTTTTTGGTACTAGGGATTGAACCCAGGGATGCCTAGCCACTGAGCTATATCCCTAGTCATTTTCAGGTTTTATTTTGAGACAGGGTCTCACGTTGGGTCTCCATAAGTTGCTAAGGCTGGCTTTGAACTGGCAATACTCCTGCCTCAGCCTCCAGAGCAGCTGGGATTACAGGCCTGTACCATCATGCCCAGCTGTCATTATATCTTAATGTTCCATCTTCACACACAGTTGAAGTGAATCATCTGTATTATCACAGTAACTCTTCTTAGAAATCATCAGCATGAGCAATAAGAACATCTGGGTATAATTAAAGATATCACTTTTAATTTCTGTTTGATAAAGGCTTGATAACCAAGGTCATCCTACCAGGCAAGTCATCAAAACCAACAGAAGTGCAAGAATAAAAAAAATTTTAATTAGATGACAGAAGAGAAAGATAATTAGTACTATTTAGTATGGATGAATCTGAAAATAATTATAAGTGAAAGAAGCCAATCCAAGAAGAAAAAAGAATACATAACTGTATAATTCCATTAATAGAAAATTCTAGAAAATTCTATAAACTATTCTACAGTGATAGAAAGCCAATCTGTTGTTACCTAGGTATAGAGAGGGAGGTGGTCAGAATAAGGAAATGGAGGAAGGAAGGAGCAATACAGGAAGTATAAGGAAACAGTTGAGAGTTATGTATGTTAAATTACCTTGATTATGGTAAAGATTTCATGAGTATATACTTATGTCAAAATTTGTCAAATTCTGTACTTTGAATATGTTGAGTTTTTGTTTGTCAGTTATATCCCATTAATGCTTTTTCTAATCAAACTCATCAAATTATATTCTCTAAGTATGTGTAGCTTATTGCATGTAAATTTTACCTCAATAAAGTTATAAAAAAAACCAAATTATGTAGTATCCTACATAGTAACAGGAGCTACAGTATGTCCCACTAACTCTCCTCAAGAATTATGATTCCCTAGGAATTAAGACCACAGAATCCTGCAGAAGTTGGATACTTTTTTTTCCAGCAACTTATCAAGACCCAACGTGAGACCCTGTCTCAAAATAAAACCTGAAAAGGACTAGGGATATAGCTCAGTGGCTAGGCATCCCTGGGTTCAATCCCTAGTACCAAATACTTTTTTTTTGGGGGGGTGGGGGTGGGTATGAGGATTGAACTCAGGGGCACTTGACCACTGAGCCACATCTCCAGCCCTATTTTGTATTTTAGAGACAGGGTCTCACTGAGTTGCTTAGTGCCTCAGGCTGGCTTTGAACTCGTGATCCTCCTGCCTCAGCCTCCCAAACTGCTGGGATTACAGGTGTGCATCACTGTGCCCTGTAAGTATACGTTTTTTTGTGTGTGTGGTGCTGGGGATTGAACCCAGGGCCTTGGGCATGAGCAGCAAGCACTCTATCAACTTAACTATATCCCCAACCCCGTGTATACTTTAATGTGAGAAGCAAATAGAATGACTTTGTGCAACTGGTTGACTGGAATTGATGCCACTCAAATGTCCCATCCAAATTTTCCCTACAGGGCCAGAATATTCTTCCTGATAGAAAAATATAAAAGACTGGTCCATTACATCAAGGAAGAACAGCTCTATAGTGTGGTTTATGCTCCTGAGCAATAAATTAGGCCACGTAGACTTTGTCTGAGGCCATATCCTTGCTTGACTCTTTCCCCCTCCCTATTCTATTTCACTCATTTCCTAATGTATTTCCTGAGAAGCCCTACCTCTATTAATTATATTCACCCAAATTCTTGTCTTCAGGCTTTGGTTCTAGGGAACCTAACCTCAAAGAGCTAGCACAAACCTGCCAATCTGTGCTGAGATTCAGCTTCAAGAAGTCACCTCTCGCCTGTCACCTTGCCTGCTTTATGTGTTCTTTATCATCTTGGTCCATATTCTTCCTGCTTATACACTGTCTCTTGGCTGTATTCTTTACATGTCCCCACAGCCTATCCAGAACAGATTTGAATCTGCCTTTTCTCTCCCAATCAGCATAATACTGACCAATCCTTCTCTATTCTTTTTTTTTTTAATTTTTTTCTTTTTTTAAAATTTTTTAAAATTTATTTTGCATTACAATTCTTAATACACCATTATACCATAATTTATCATATCTCTGATTATATATGTTGACATCAAATTCACATCTTCATACATGTATTTTGTATAATGATGAGGGTCTCCTTTCACCACTTCTTTATTCTTATTGCTCAACTTCCATCTATCATTAGGTTCTTTTTTTAAGAGAAAGAGAGAGAGAGAGAGAGAGAGAGAGAGAGAGAGAGAATTTTTAAAAAATATTTATGTATTTTTTTTTTTTAGTTCTCGGCAGACACATCTTTTGTTTGTATGTGGTGCTGAGGATCGAACCCAGGCCGCACGCATGCCAGGTGAGTGCGCTACCGCTTGAGCCACATCCCCAGCCCCTCATTAGGTTCTTACAAATCACCTTGGAGAGTGCTGTCACTCAACTCTTTATTTGTGCTTATTGTGACTAAGTCTCATTACTCTGTGAATGCTTAGTAAATACTTTCTGATTAACTGCAACAGGGACCTGATCTAAATTAAATGCTCAAATAATGTATTGATATGAAAACTATTATAATTTTTAGACCAAACAATAATATTAACAAAATGTCACAATTAAGATTTAATTTTGCTTACTTTTCCTGGGTGACCCAGTTGATAACTAAATCCAGCCGTTTTTCAGATAATCCACATTTGATTCCTTCTAGGGTTAGATCTGCATCAACAGGAGTTGTAAAAGCATGGCTTGTGCTAAGTATAGCCTCAAAAAATAAGAGTAATGGAAGAGTTTTTCCTCTAATTTTTCCAATAGCTACAAAAAAAATGTTAGAATCAAATATTTTAAGAAAGTTTGCTATTTCTTATTTCATATTATTATTTTCATCTCTGCATTTTCTAAAAACTTAGTATTACGTATAGATTAAACTTTATATATTGGATGAGGACTAAATATCATTATTTACACCCTGTGAAGATGGAGGCAGAGATTAGAGTGATCCGTCTACAAGCCGAGATATGCAGAAAAGTTGCTAACAGTGACTAGAAGGTAGGCAAGCCCACTTAGAGTCTCCAGAAGAAACCAACCCTGCTGACACCTTGATTTCAGACTTTTGGCCTCCAGAACTGTGAGAAAACAAATTTATTTTATTTCAAGTGACAGAGTCTCCCATTAATGGTGTGACCAAAAAGAAAAAAAAAAAAAAACCTGATTTGAATAAAGAACACAAAAGATGTAGTTATAAATACATTGAGGATAAAATTCCTCATGCAGGGGCTGGAGTTGTGGCTCAGTGGTGGAGTGTTTACCTTGCATGTGTGAGGCACTAGGTTCAATCCTCAGCACCACACAAAAATAAATAAATAATGATATTGTGTCCAACTACAACTAAGAAAAAAAAAATTTTAAGTCCTCAAGCAAACTACATTGCTCTATAACCAAATGAGAAAAATATAAAACTGGGTATTCAGAACTACATATTTAGCCAGACTATAGACCTTAACTTTGAAAATAATTCAATGAGAATAATAAATTAGAATCCTTAAAAAATAATGTGAAGCTGGGATTACACCTGTAATCCCAGCAGCTCGGAGGCTGAGGCAGGAGAAACTCAAGTTCAAAGCCAGCCTTAGCAATTTAGCAGGGCCCTAAGCAACACAGTGAGACTCTGTCTCTAATAAAATATGAAAAAAGGGCTGGGGATGTGGCTCAGTGGTTACATGCCCTGAGTTCAATCCTTGGTATCAAATGATAATAATGTATATTAATTGTACAAAATAATGGGTTTCTTTGTGGTATTTTCATACATGCATATAATGTATTTTGATCTTATTTACCCTCACTGTTACCTCTCTTACCACTTCCTCCTGATCCTTGGTCCCTCTCCCCTTCCCTAACAGTACCCTTTCTACTTTCATGCTGCCTAGCCCGCCCCCCTCCAGATTCCACACTAGAGAAAACATGTGATACTTGTCTTTCTGGGTCTGGCTTATTTTATTTAACATGATGAGCTCCAATTCCATCCACTTTCTTGCAAATCACATGATTTCATTCTTCTTCAGGGATGAATAATACTCCATTGTGTTTATGTGTATATACATGAACTGATAAAAACGTGATACATAGATGTATATACACACCCTGACACGCACATATGAACAGTTCATTTGTTGATGGGAATCTAGGTTGATTCCACAACTTGCCTATTGTATATAGTGCTGCAATAAAGATGCACATGCAGTTCTCTCTATTGTATATGGTAGTTCCATTTTTGTTTGAGGAAATTCCATACTAAAATTCCATAGTGGCTATATTAGTTTACCCTCCCACCAACAGTGTATTCCTTTTCCCCTGCAACCCTGAGAGCTATTTTATTTTTTTAAAAAAAATTTTTTTATGTGGTGCTGAGGATCGAACCCAGGGCCTCACTCATGCTAGGCGAGTGCTCTACTGCTGAGCCACAACCCCAGCGCCCCCCAAGAAGCTTTTTAATTTGATAAAATCCCATTTGTCCATTCTTGCTATTACTTCCTGAGCTACTGGAGTCTTGTTGAGGACACTGTTGTCTATACCAGTATCTTGAAGTATTTCCCCTGTTTTCCTCTAATAATTTCAAAATTTCAGGTATTATATTAAGGTCTTTGATCCATCTTGAATTAGTTTTTGTGAGAGATGGGGATCTAGTGTCAATCTTTTACATGCAGATACCCAGTTTTCCCAGCACCATTTATTGAAGAAGCTGTCTTTTCTCCAGCATGTTTTTGGCTCCTTTCTCAATAGTCAGATGACTGCAGATAGGTGGATTTATTCCTGGATCCTCTATTCTATTCCATGACTCTATGTACCTATTTTTATGACAATATCATACAATACATGGCATATTTTGAAATCAGGTATTATGATTCCTCCATCATTGTTCTTTTTACTCAGGATTGCTTTTGACTATTCAGGTGTTTTGTGCTTCCATATGAACTTGATTAGTTTTTCTAGTTATGTGAATAATGCCATTAGTATTTTTTAATATTTTTTTTACATGTTGATGGACCTTTATTTTATTCATTTATTATATGCGGTGCTAAGAATTGAACCCAGGGACTCACACATGCTAGGCAAGTGTTCTACCACTGAGCCACAACTTCCAGGCCAGTCATTAGTATTTTGATGGGGATTGTATTGAATCTGCAGATAGCTTTCAGCAATATGGCCATTTGAACAGTATTAATTCTCCCAACCCATGAATATGGGACATCTTTCCAACTTCCATTATTTTCTTCAATATTTTTTCAGTGTTTTATAATTTTCATTGTAGAGGTCTTTCAACTCCTTAATTAGGTTTATTCCTACTGTTTTTGGTTTTGTTTTGTTTTTGAGATAATTGTGAATATGACCATTTTCCTTATTTCATTATTGGTGGATATAGGAAAAGCTGCCAATTTTTGTATGGTGATTTTGTATCCTGCTACTTTGCTCAATTTATCAGTTCTAAGATAATTATGGTGGACTCTCCAGAATTTTCTAGGTATAGAATCATATCATCTACAAACAAAGCTAATTTAACTTTTTCTTTTTCTATTTGTATCCATTTTCTTTCTTTCTCTTGCCTGACTGCTCTGCTAAAGTCTTCAATGCTAAATAAGAGTGTTAAGAGTGTACATCCTTGTCTCATTCTTGATTTTAAAAAAGATTCTTTGTTTTTCTCCATTTAGTATGATGTTGACTATGGATTTTTCACATATAGCCTCTATATCCTGAGATATGATCCTGTATATATAATTCATTAAAGGTTTTTATCCTGAAGGGATGCTGAATTTTATCAAAGGCTTTTCTGCATCTATTGAGATGATTATATAATTTTTATATTTGATTCTATTTATGTAGTGAATTACATTTATTAATTTGCAAATGTTGAATCAGTCTTGCATCCCAGAATGAGACCAACTTGACCTCAGTGTATGATATTTTTAATGTGATATTGAATTCAATTTGCAAGTATTTTATTGAGGATTCTGCATCTATGTTCATCAAGAATATTGGTCTACAATTATCTTTTTTGTTCTTTTTTTTTTTTTTTGATATGTCTTTTTCAGGCTTTGGTAGTATAGTAATTTTGGCTTTGTAAAAAGAGTTTGGGAGAGTTCCTGTGTATGTCTTTGTCTGTTTATAGAGTAATTTGAGAAACATTGGTATTCACTCTTCAAAAGTCTGGTACAATTCAGCAGCGAACCCATCTCGTCCAAGACTTTACTTTGCTTAAGACTTTATTATTGCTTAGGTCTGATGCTTGTTATTGGTCTATTTACATTTTCTTATATCATCTTGATTCAATTTTTGGCAGGTCATATATGTTCAGAAAATTTATTGGCATGTAGTACTTAAAAAATATGTCCTAATGATCCTCTGGATTTCACTGGTATTTGTGAAATACTTTTTCATCTCTAGTTTTATTTATTTGGTTCTTCAATTTTGGTTAGTATGGTTAGGGACTTGTCAATTTTATGCTTTCAGAGAATCAACTCTTTGTTCATTGTATTGTTTTGCTTTTTTAGTCTCTATTTATTTCTCTCTGACATTTATTATTTCTTTTCTTCTACTGACTTTGAGGATTGGTTTGTTCCTGTTTTCCTTTTCTTTTTCTTTTTTTTGAGGGGGGCCCAACGGGGATTGAACCCAGAGGCACTTAACCAATAAACTACTGTACTTTTTCTATGTTTAAATATATAAATACTTATTCTTGTGTTACAGTTGCCACAGTATTCAGTATAGTAATATGCTGTATAGGTTTGTGGTTTAGGAATAATAGGCTATACCATATCGCCTAGGCTATTCCATCTAGGGTTTTTAAAGTGTGTTCTGTGCTGTTTGCACACTGATAAAATTGCCTGACAACCTGTCAGTACATAGTACACATGACTTTAAAAATGAAATATATTATTGTACAAGAGACGGTATAAATAACATACACATATTATGTATTTTAAATACACACAAATTGTTGTATGTATGTCAATTTATGACAAGAAAGTTGTTTTTTAAAAGGATATGCCTGCCTATCGGGCACAGTGGTGCATGCCTGTAATTCCAGCTACTTAGAAGGCAATTGGGAGAATCATAAGTTCAAGGCCAGCCTTGGCAACTTAGTGAGACCTCTCTCAAAATAAAAAATACAATGGACTGAGAGTGTAGCTCAGTAGTAGAGCACCCTTGGGTTCAATCCTCAATATAAAAAAAATAAGTAAATTTGACGAAATATTAACATTCATTACATTTTGATAGTGAGTATATATATGAGTGTTAATACATTTCTCCATATTTTCTATATACTTGTAATATATCAAAATTTAAGTTAGAAAAACTATTCAAAGTCCTTAATTTTAACAGTAAATGACAGAGATAGGGCTGGAGTCTAGATCTAATCTTTAGTCTCTCAGTTTAATATTCTTTATATTCTATCAAGAAAAAAAAAAGTATAATTTACATACATGGATAAGGTTTGGAGAGAGATGCTTACCCTTAAATTTATCCATTGAACCCATGTTTCGAAGAATCCTTCTAGGACTGCTTGCTGCAAAATAAGCTGCCTTTTCATATTCACCAAGTGACATTAGTTCATTGAACCTAGAGCCATTGCATTGTACACAAAAAAGTAAGAACGCTGATTAGAAATATCTAATACGAAGTAAGTATAGTGGCATAATATAGAAGAGCAAAAAACAATTCTAACGAACTATGACTAGATTTGTTTACTTAGAGGCTGTTCATTCAATTTTTTCTCTAATATTCTTGGGGGGTGTTTTGTTTTATCTCATTATAAAACAAAGCTGACTTTGAACTTGATCCTGTACATATTCCAATAGTACTTAGTCGAATGCCCCTGAGTTTAATCCCTGGGAGGGAGGGAGGGAAGGGAGGGAAGGAAGGAAGGAAGGAAGGAAGGAAGGAAGGAAAAAGAAAAGAAAAGAAATTCTCAAAAGAACATTTAAGACCAGTAAATTGATGGCTAGGGAATGCAAGAAAAATGTAAATAAAATTTATATCAACACTACAATCCTCTTATCTTCTCTGAAATGTCTGCTATAAGCTGTGGGGTTTTTTTCCATAAAAAATGAAATTCTACTTTATGTTCTAAATTTTCAACTAAAATAGAATTTTAAAGATATAAAAACCAAAGACTACAGCTTATCAAAATACTAAATAAATGATAAACATGGTCACTTAAATGTAGAAAATCAAAGTTTTAAAAATATTTGCCTTTCAATGTAGTACAGTATAATTTCAGCATTTTTTGCCTTGCTTGGATCATCTTCAAGCAGTTCTTCAACAAAGCCTTGGTCAACTATAAATGCTAAAAGGACCAACATAAGATATTTAAGGTTATTTACCAATAAAAAATAATAAACATACTTTTTTTTTTGGTGGTGCTGGGGATTGAACCCAGGACCTTGTGTGTGCAAGGCAAGCACTCTACCAACTGAGTTACACCCCAGCCCATAAACATACATTTAATACTGCTTTGGTTTCCAACAGTACCAACCTCTTCCTAAACTGAGTGGCATCCCTGTCCCTTTGCTCCTTATTTTCAGTTCATTTTAAGGATTCCCTCTTTGGCTCACAAAGTCTATTCTTAACTAATATCTGACAACTGCTGAGGGAAGAAACCCATAGAATATCAGAGAACTAGTAGAGGTAAGTATATTTAAAAAAATTTTTTTTTTAGTTATAAGTGAACAAATGCCTTTATTTTACTTTATGTGGTACTGAGGATCCAACCCATTGCCTCACACATGCTAGGCGAGCGTTCTACCTCTGAGCCACAACCGCAGGCCGAGGTAAGTGTATTTTTGTTTTCTTTAAACTCAGTTCATTCTTAGTTTTCTAGGGGAAAAATATTTCCTACTACTTGTGCTAATTTAAAAATGTAGTATGCTACCATGAAAATCTTTGGTTTTCTGAATTTCTTCCACGAAGTCTTCAAATGTTTTGCTCTTATCAGATTTTACCCATGAAGAAAGTGCATATAAAATAATCTGCAGTCTTTGATGACTATAAAGATAAAAACATCAACAAAATACTAAGCCTAAAATTGAAAGGTAGAATATTAAAATAAACAAATAAAACCTTTGAACTTTAAAAACATACAATCAACTTTCATACCGAAACTGTAATTTTTCATTCAGATTTTCAGCTATATCTCGCCGTTTTAATAACACAATCATTTCCTCATCAAAATCAGCCATCCTTTGAATTGGTACATATTTTACCAACATAGCTTGCTTCATTTCTCTGTATTTATCTTCAAGGTGTTTCCTGAATTTCCTGAGAGCATTTAGAGTGACAGAATCTTGGAGAGTCATGCCTATGAGAAGAGGAAATAAATCAACAGGCCAAGCAATTTTTGGGACTCTTGTGCTCAGACAGTGTCTCAGCAAAATAGAGCAGAGATTCCAATGCTAAGAAATAATTCAGAAGTAGTAGCATGTACTTACAGCTCCTGACATAAGCAAAATTAGCATAAAATTGCAAAAGGCTAGCAGTTTTAAACATCACCAATGAAGACCCAGTTAAGATTGCTTGTTCTAGTCGGATACAGTGGTACATGCCTGTAATCCCAGTGGCTCAGGAAGCTGAGACAGAAAGATCGCAAGTTCAAAGTCAGCCTCTGCAAATGGCAAGGCACTAAGCAACTCAGTGAGACCCTGTCTCTAAAATAAAACACAAAATAGGACTGGGGATGTAGCCAAGTGGTTGAGTGCCCCTGGGTTCAATCCCCAGTACCAAAAAAGAAAAAGAAAAAAAAATTGCTTGTTTGAGAACACACAAACCTTAACATCTGCAAATTTTTAATATATATATATATATTTTTTTTGTGTGTGTGTGTGTGTGTGTAGATGGACACAATACCTTTAATTTTTTTTTTTTAATGTGGTTCCGGGGATCAAACCCAGTGCCTCACACATGCAAGGCAAGCGCTCTACCACTGAGCCACAACTCTAGCTCTTGAAATTTTTTTAATTACCTCATCAGTACTGCCTGAAAACTCCTAAATATCACCAAAAGCCTCTGCCTAATAACTAAGGATTGAATCAACAAATTTCCGTTTCCCATTATTTACAAAAATTAACCCCAATATAATCACCTTATTTTTTCCAACACAAAACTTATAAATGCCTGCCAAAACTCTAGTTATCTCTTCCTCTCTTGCTGTCCCCTGAATTAATTATTCCTAACTCAAACACTTCAAATGTCTTCCTTTCTCATCTGGGCTAATTGCTAACTTTATGAAATACCTCAAAATTCCACTCCTCCAGAACCACTCTGGATTAACCCTACTGGATTTTAATCACTCCCTTGTCCTGTATCTTCTCACCAATTTATTTGTCAGTTATTCTGTACTTATTCATATATATCTTTTTTTAAAACAATTGTTTTAAATATTTATTTTTTTAAGTTTTAGGTGGACACAATATCTTTTATTTTACATTTATATGGTGCTGAGGATTGAACCCAGTGCCTCGTGCATGCTAGGCGAGCACTCTACCGCTGAGCCACGACCCCAGCCCCTATTCATATATCTTATTTGAAGTTTGCTAGTCACAATTTTATATTTATATTTGAAAATGAATTTAGACAAAAAAAATAGAATGTGAATCTTTATTTCCACAAAATGCAAGATGATCATTCAAAGTTAGTAAAAATCCTTTAGTATAGAGTAACTTATTACTTCAAGGAAGAGCCTCTTCCATTTAGACCAAATCTGGCATCCTACAATTTCCACTTATTGATTCTACCAAGTAAATATCTTTTAAGTTTTGAATATCATTACCTATTTTCAAAGTCTTTATTTTCTCCAGGATAAATACTTAACAACTACTTTATATGTTCACCATACAAACCTCTACAAATCCTACTGAATTCCAAGATACACTCCAATTTCTTAAAATATGTATTATACTAAGATGTTGAAACAGTGAATGCAGACATAAACACAAATAATAATAAGATGCATGAGAACAATATCCTACATTTTTTCCAAACATTATACCAGTGGTTCTGAAATTTTATAATACATCATAATAACCAGAACTGGATAAAACATTGACTGCCAGACTCAATCACTGGGTTTCTAACTTAGTAAGTCTGCAGTGAGACCCAATAATTTGGATTTCTAACCAATTTGCGGGTGATGCTGATATTGATACAAGAACCATACTTTGAGTCACTGCTTTATACTTCATATAACCCTGACAGATTGGAATGCTTAAAATGTTTTAGGGTTGTTTAAAGTTTTCTATTTTCCATGTATCCGTCTAGAACACTGACTAAAGTTGTTTTGTAACATACAACTGATAGATATAAACATGTCAGCATGCTTATATAAATTTGTATAATAGGTAGTAACTGGAAATAGTTGGGCTTTCTCTCGAATATTTTTTAAATACTTTTTTAGTTATAGTTGGACACAGACACAGTATCTTTATTTTATTTATTTATTTTTATGTGGTGCTGAGGATTGAACCCAGCGCCTCGCATATGCTAGGCAAGTGGTCTTCTGCTGAGCCACAACCCCAGCCCCCTCTCTCGAATATCTTAAACAAAATACAGTACCTGGAATAGGTTTTGAAGGATCTTTGGAGAGAGTATAGTATTTTGCTTCTTTTGTGTCATACTCTGCCCTAAGCTGTTTCATTTGATCTATTTGCAATTGAATCTTCAAGGAATTATTTTCAATAATCCTCATTCTAAAAAACAGAAATTCTTATGTTTCTTTCAATTAATTTAATTCTTGAATCATAATATTTAAGATAAGCAGGTTAAATCATTATTTTATTTTGGCTAATTATCATTTTGAACCATTATGAATTAGGTAGAAGTTCAGAAAAACATGTCCTGAAAAAGTTAAGTAATCTCACAAATAAGGAACAATTTTCTTTGAGAGCTTCAGTAAAAATATAATCTAATATTGGCTATGATTATTAACCTATCAGAAACTCATAAGTATTAAACATATTCTAGTCACAAAACACCATCTATTCCTTTTAGTAAAAAAAAAAATGACATTTGCAATTTAAATATCATTTTGGTAAATAATTGTTTTGGTTTCCTGTGGCTATTGTAAAAATTATAGAAACTTGGTGACTTAACAGAAATTTATTCTCTAGCAATTGTGGAGGGCTAAAGTCCCAAATCAGTATCACTATACATAAAATCAAAGTGTTTTGAGGGCCATGCTTCCTATAGAAGCTCTAAGAGTCAATCCATTCCTTGCCTTTTCCAACCTCTGGTTGCTTCAAGAATTCCATAGCTGCAAAGCTTCAATCTCTGCCTTCATGATCACATTGCTCTCTCCTATTCCTCCCCCTTATAAGAATACTTCTTAATATCTAGGGCTTATCTGGATAATCTCCCTACGTCAAAACCTTAATTTATTCACATCTGCAAAACCTGTTTCCAAACAAAGATAAACATTTGCAGGCTCCAGCAATTAGGACCTGATGTTTATGAGGGCCATTATTCAATCTACTGCAGAGATTTTGATACTAAAGCTAGAGGAAAGATAACACTTCCCTGAGGTAAAATTGAGCACATTCAGAAATACAGATCCTAAAAACTACAAAGTAGTGCTCAGCATAGCGGTTCACACTTGTAATCCCAGCAGGTTGAGGATTAAGTCTCCCATCTTGGGAGGCTGAGGCAGGAGGATTAAAGTCAGCCTAAGCAATTTAGCAAGACCCTATCTCAAAATAAAAAAAGCTGGGCGTGTGGCTCTGTGGTTAAGTGCCCCTAGTACTGGGGGGGGGGGGGGGAAGAAATGAAATTTACCCTACTTCTTAGTTTAAGAAATAACCAAACTTAGTTTTAAAAGTACCTTAAGTCCGCACTATACAACTGAGCTACATCTCTAGCCTGTTTTGGTTTTGCTTTACTTTTTTTTTTCCTTTTAATATTTTTTTAGTTGTAGATAGATACAATACTTTTATTTTATTTATTTATTTATTTATTTTTATGTGGTGCTGAGGATTGAACCCAGTGCTTTACACACTCTAGGTAAGCACTCCACCACTGTGCTATAACCCCAGCCCTGCTTTACTTTTTGAGACAAGGTCTTGCTACAGAGCCCAGGCTCACCTAGAACCTGAGATCTTCCTGCTTCAGCCTAATTTCAAAAATTCTATTAAGGATTATTTGAGGTTTATTTCCTAGCTTTGGTGGTCCAGGGGGAAAAATAACAGACTAAAATAAGTTAGACACCCTTGCAGAAAAATTAAGCAAGAGGGGCATGGCAAGATCTAGGGACCACTGTAATGGGGTTCTGTAGTAGGAGAGAAAGATTGGTCTCAATTCCTAATACATTTAGCAAGTGGGAATACATAGTCAAGAAGCTGCGGTGGGGGAGTATCAGTGGAAAAAAAAAATAAGAGGAAACATCAGAAGGGAAGACTCTGGGTAAGTAGACCTAACAGAATTGCTGAAGGCAAGGCCAGCAAGGCTCCACTATCTCTGATATGATCAGACATAAGAAATTTAGTCACACAATGAGGATGATCAGGTATTTAGGGCTGGAAATTCTGCCTAAACCAATCTGATAGGATTCTTGCTAAAATTATACAGTCATAGGTGGATATGAAAGTCCAGAAGTCAAGTCTATATGAAAAAGAGTTCAGGGAAGCCAGATAAAGAATCTTTGTCAATATTTAAAAAAAAAAAAAAGTTATTTTTTTCTTTTTCTTGTTTTGCAAATTAAAACCCAGTTTTTTAGTAGATAACTGCTGTCCACTTCTGATTATTATACCGAATTCTTGGTAACGACAGATGACTCAAAGTAAAAGCCAAGTATTTATAATAAAGGGATTATAGAAATAAAATTTATTTAGCTTTATTCCAAATAAACTTCTGCTTGTGAAAGAAAGCTATATTAAAAATAAACAGGACTTCAAAAGAATTTAAAGCAGGAACTCAGATACTAGCATACAAACGTTCATAGTGGAATAGCCAAAGGTGAAAACAACCCAAGAATCCATCAATAGATGGATGGATACACAAAATTTAACACAACATTTAACATGTACATACGATAAAATATTATTTGATCATAAAATAATGACATTCCAATTCATGATACCACATGGATGAGAAGGCTTCTAAGCGTTGCTCGTTTCTTTTTCTTTTTTTTTTTTTTTCTTCTAAAATGTTTTGGATGTTGATGGACCTTTATTTAATTTATTTATTTATTTTTATGTGGTGCTGAGAATCGAACCCAGAGCCTCACACATGCTAGGCAAGCGCCCTGCCACTGAGCCACAACCCCAGCCCAAGTGTTGCTCCTTTCTATGCTACTTTTATGGTCTATTTTTTACAACTTCACGATGATAGATGTAGCTGAGGATTTCTTAGCATTTATCACACTTGGCTTTCTTGAATCTGTGAATTGGTATATTTCACCAGTTCTAGAAAACTCTCAGTCATTATCTCCTCAAATATTACTTCTGTCCCATATTCTTTTCTTTTAGAGCTGTGATTAGACAAGCTAATATGACCAATCTGCCACATCTTTTATAATAGTTCTATTGATATGTAGTTCAGATTCTTTTAAAATTCACCCTTAAGAGTATAATTCAGTGAATTTTAATACAACCATCACCACTAAATAGTTCTAGAATGTATCATCATCCAAAAAATAATCCCTATACCCATCAGAAGTCTGCTGAGCAGAAAGTAATTTTCCATTCAGTCCCCAGGCATGGAGCAGTTCACCTGTGGTTTGCTCTACCAGAGTGGAGTCCTTTATCATTCTAGCTTTATGGGGAGGGCTTCCCAGTGGGCTACACCCCTTGGGCAGAGCCTAGACTTTGTCTTTTATCCCAAGTTGCATACTAAAAACTGAAATTTATGGTCACAAGTTTTAATAAATATTCTCATGGCCAAACAATTTTTAGTGCTCTGCTTATTTTTTATCTTCTGTTAGATTTTGCCCTCATAATCTCTTATTTTCTCATCAGCTTTCTAATGCTTCTGGAAAGACTTTTGTTTATTTTATAAGCTGGGTACAGTGGTGCAAGTCTGTAAACCCAGCAATTCAGGAGGCTGAGGCAGGACGATCATAAATTTGAAGGGAGGCCATAAGCAACTTAGCAAGACCCTGTCTCAAATCAAAAAATTACAAGGATGGGGATATAGCTCAGTAGCAAAGCCCCCTTGGATTTAATCCTCAGTATTAAAAATAAATTATAAAGCCAGGTGTGGTGGCACACACCTGTAATTCAAGCTACTTAGGCAGCTTAAGCAGAAAGATTGCAAATTGAAGGCCAATCTGGGCAACTTAGTGAGAGCCTATCTCAAAATAAAAACAAAAAGAGCTGGGAATGTAGCGAGTGCTCAGTAGTAGAATGCTTGCCTTGCATGCATGAGGCCCTGGGTTCGATCCCCAGTACTGGAAATCTTTTAAAAAGAAAAGAGAGATCCCTAATAGCAAGGTCTATACCAACATCTAGCCATTCATATTACCAGAAAGGTCAAACTTTGCATAATTTTTAAGTTGATTTGAAATCATCTATAAAAATATTTATCAATTATTTGTCAAATTTAATACTGAAAACATGACTACTCAACAAGAGTATTTTCTCCACTCTAGTAGGTTACTTACTTTTGTACATTACAAGATTAAGCTCTAATTCAGAAATAATCATGAAATTGTACTATCAAATCACTGCTGGTGGGACTGCAAATTGGTGCAGCCAATATGGAAAGTAGTATGGAGATTTCTTGGAAAACTGGGAATGGAGCCACCATTTGATCCTGCTATCCCTCTCCTTGGTCTATACCCAAAGGACTTAAAAACAGCATACTACACAGCCACATCAAATATATAGCAGCACAATTCACAATAGATAAACTGTGGAACCAACTTAGATACCCTTGAATAGATGAATGGATTAAAAAAAATGTGGCATATATACACAATGGAATATCACTCAGCAATAAAAGAGAATAAAATCATGGCATTTGCAGGTAAATGGATGGAGTTAGAGAAGATAATGCAAAGTGAAGTTAGCCAATCCCAAAAAAACAAATGCCAAATGTTTTCTCTGATATAAGGAGGCTGATCATAGTGGGGTAGGGAGAGGGATCATGGGAGAAATAAAACAACTCCAGATAGGGCAGAGAGGTGGGAGGGAAAGGGATGGGGCATGGGGTTAGAAATGATGGTGGAATTGTGATGGACATTGTTATCCAAAGTACAGGTATGAAGACATGAATTGGTGGGAATATACTTTGTATACAACCAGAGATATGAAAAATTGTGCTCTATATGTGTAATAAGAATTGTAGTGCATTCTGCTGTCACATACAAATAAAAAATTAATTAAATAAAAAATAAAAAGCTATTCCATGAATAAATAAATTAATTAAAATTTTTTTTCATGCAAGAAATTACTTAGAGAATCATTTTTTGCATCCCCAATTTTATGAAAACACAGTGTACCTCTGGTTTTCACAAAGTTCTCAAACAAAATTAATACTCCTACTTGAAACATGTAAAAAATATAATTAATAGGAGAGGAAAGCATAAAAACCCAGCTTTTAAAATTAAAATGAAATTTAAAAGACTAATAACCTTTGGTTAAAGTTATATTGTCTGGTTATTATAGTATAGAAACAATTATCATCTTTTGGGCTAGCTACTAATATACTTACTTTGCTTCAAGCTGGATAGCTCTTCTCTGATGATATACCAAAACTGTGGGCTCTGCTGCCCAAACTTTAAGTTTTCCATGAAGAAAAAATGTAGTTCTTCGGTCTTTCTTTAGTGTCTCAATAAAGGCATCATATTCTTTTTTGATTGAAGTAAGAATGGATTTGTATGCAGTGACATAGTCTATTACCTGAAATATGATATTTCTGCCCATGATACTGAAATTTTTTCTAGAAGACTACAAGTCAAAAGCCTTACAAATAGCATTAAGATTATTTCTTAAATGAAACATGATTAACAATTACAAATCTAAAAACTTTACAGAAAGCTCATACATGACTGGGCACTAAAGACAATATTTATTGAACATATACTCCTTATGGATCATTACAGTGGAGACTGATCTTAAGTACCAGAGAGAGGAGAAAAAAGACTATTTCTGTTTTACCTGTTATAAACGCATACCATATATTATGTCAGTTGAATCTAATACCAGGTTAAATTTTTCCAATTCTCAATCCTTTAATCACATATCTTCTCTTAGTTCCTTCATTTAAGACCTTAAAATCCTGAATTCCCTTTACCTACTGGCTAATCAATACTCTGAATTGATGTTGAGAGCCGCAGGCGAAGAGGCCCCAGCAAACTTCCAGCTGATTGGCTCACTGCAGCCCCAGCAAACTTCCAGCTGATTGGCTCCTCTGCGGTGATGCTCATTGGGCTGTTTCCCCGCCCCTTCAGACCACGGAGCTGCTCATTGGGGGACTCTTTTGGCTCCGCCGATGCGACCCAGCCAATCTGCCTCAAGAGTGGTTGAGGTGCTCACCAGAAGAGCCGGTGGGCTCTCGGGGAATTCCTGGAGCACTGGGGTAGTGCGGCTTGCATTCAAAAAATAAAGTTCCTTCCTGTTTGACAAGTGGCTTGTGAATTGTGCCCAGCCAGACTGCGGCAAATTCCTAATGCATGTCTATTCTCAAGGTGTCAAATGCAACTTTAAAAAACCCTCATCACTACATAGTCATGGTTTCCAGTGGTGTTTAAGTAAAGACTATCTCAGGAAAGATAACTGAAGAAAATAACAAATAACTTAAGAAAGGATAACCGAAGAAATAGTGGGCACCTGCTGAGAACGGAAGGGTGTGAGATGAGAAGGACCAACCTTCCATGTACTAGGTTTTTTCCTTTACCAATTTTCTTTTTTCTTAATCTTGTACATTACCCATGCAAAAATAATCAAAAATACTTTTAAATAAGCTAGGAAAAAAACAGAAAAATTATAAATAATTATGGTTTCCAAATTTTGCTCATGAGGATTTGAGAAGGTACTGATGTGTACAGGGAATAGAAATGATTTGCTCAAAACTTTCTCTGAAGCCTGCAATTATGCTTTCTATCCCTGCTACATTCTAGACTCTAGTATCCCCCAGTAGTTTTCTTTAGCTAGTCAATCTAGAAAAAGTTATCCAGGAAGATTTTCAGTTGATCAAGAAATAAAATAAAGAGATAATAAATCAGTGGCAAGAAGTAGGAGAAATCACTTGAGTAGGAGATAGGTACTTGTCTCTTTTGGACATGACCAAATTGTTTACCTTAATTAGAATAGGGGTCAATAATAGAATAGAGGAACAATCTATGAGAATCCAAATTAAGTACCCTGCTGCTCCTATCATCCTCTACTTCATGAAGCCCTGTGATGTGCTCCAACAATGCAGCACAACTCATATACATTAATGAGTAGATAACAGAACTATAGTGATACCAAAATCAGATTTTCTGTCAGTTTGCTAGAAGAAACAGGTTTCAGAAGAACCACCCATGATATCTATGAGAATGCACAGAAAATGCTTTAAAGTAGAAGATGCAAACTGGCATGCCACTAATAGAAAACAGGTGGAAATTTTGCCTGATCCACAAAACAGCTTTAAGTTAAAAAAATTTCACCCCCAATAATATTTTCAGCTCCTCTTGAAAACTCTGAAAAGTCTACCAGCATGGAACCCACATTCCTTAATGGCAATAATAGCTGGACCTTTAGACTGAGTTGATTCTTCATTTTACAACAGTAAAAATTCTCTCAGAACTAGTCACTTAACTCTTTATATCATCATTCTGGCCTCTGCAGGAATTAAACTTTTGAGACTTTGTTATTAAGATTTCCATTAAACCCAAGAAAATCACAACTATACTTACTTGCTACAGGGATCGGAGGGAGAAAAAGAATGGCATTCATTCTGTCTCTGTTCCTACACATGGATCTGAACTATTTGTTCAACACACTATCAGGAACACAAAAGTCTAGTCATTTTCTAGAGTCCAGTACCTCCATAAGACACCCATTTCTATAGAAATTCCCTCTTCTAGCTTGTGTCTTGTTTCTTAGGCCTCTGACTCATTCTACATCTAACCCCAATTCTTAATATACGCATCTCAGGGGCTGGGTTGTGGCTCAGTGGCAGAGCACTTGCCTAGCATGTTTGAGGCACTGGGTTCAATTCTCAGCACCACATATAAATAAATAAAATAAAGTCCATTGAAAACTAAGAATATGAAAATATATATATATCAGGTCCTCTCTGCTTTGATTCAGGTTTGATTCTCTAAGTCAAATCATTTTAAATATAATTTGGTATTTGTTCTCCAATTCCAAGAACCTGAGATGCAAGTTGATATTTTTTATCTTCTGTCCATCAGATCCTTCCAAGAGAGAAAGAACTGGGGGAGGCAACCAAATCATCCAAATCAATCAAATCAAGTCATCTATCATCAAATGTGCTGGAATAATGTGAAAATCAAAGAGAAGCTAGGAAAAAAGTTTCTCTATTCTCCTAAAAGGATCAAATGATTTCCATTTCAGAATTGCCTCTCAGTCTTGAAAAACAGATTCTTTACAAAATAAATAAATGTACAAATTTTAATTATAATGTGCAATCTAGATGGAAATCTTGAAAAACAGAAAGAAAGGGGGCATCAACTACAGATATAGATAATGTTTTTTAATTAATCACATCTGCTTTTCTAAGAATTAAATTTACCATTAGGCATGATTGTGCACACCTGTAACTCCAGCAACTCTGGAGGCTGAGGCAGGAGGATCACAAGTTCAAGGCCAGCCTCAGCAATTTAAGGAGGCCCTAAGCAACTTAGGAGACCCTGTCTCAAAATAAAAAATAAAAAGGGCTGGGGATGTAATTGAGTAGTGAAGACCTCCTGGGTTCAATCTCCAGTATAAAAAAAAAAAGGAGGAGGATGATGATGATGATGATAATAATAATAATAATAATAACATTTATCAACACCAATTCCAAAATTATTTCATTTTAACTATACTAATTTAGAACAGACTGCTCTTCAGATGACAAAAATTCTGACAAAGTGTTATCATTTGGGCATGCAAAGATAAGTAGGTCACACAACTTTTCTTTGCTGATTTCACACAAATAGAGTCTTAGCGTGACTTATATTTATGAAACCTAGTCAAGATAATACCTTTATTTAAAACATTGACCCAGTATATTTCTTAATCACCAACTAAAAGACCAACATACAATGAACACATTAGATACAACATACAGACAACACATACAATGAAGATAATCTTAAGCAGTTCTAAGGGAGAGATGTTCTATATGATTTAAAGGGAAGGGGAAAAAAACTCTCTATACTCTCATACATATGTATCAAGTTTCTTAATTCCACTGTTAGGTATATATCACTACTTAGGGCTCACTTTTCTGTAAAGTGAGGCACTAGGTTTTTGTTTAGAGGAGAAATAATTGACTCATAGTGTACTAACATTTAAAAATTAAGCAAAACACAGGGTTCCTACTTTGCCTGTAGCTATTTTACCCAGAAACCAAGAAACTTAAGGTAAGCACTTCCTTTAGGCAAAGATGAAAGGATGCTGATTTCTGTCAGGGTACCTTCCAAGGGAAAGTTAAAAAAAAAAATAGCTAGGCAAAAAATTAGGATACATGTACAAATTGTAAATGTTTATAAGGAAAAACGATTATTTCTAAAATCTCAAGGAACTAAATCAAATGTTATATAAAGTCATAACATTTTTTAATCTAATCACTATTATTTCCAGTGTTAAGTCCAGTCAAATCTCTTGCTCATGCTTATAAGACCACTAACTACAAGCGGTATCATGTTTTTATATCAAGTATTTTATTTGTTTATTTGTTTGCCTATTTATTTAGAGTCTGGGTGCTATGTTACCAAGGAGGGCCTCAAATTCCTGCCTCAAGGGATTCTCCAGCCTCAGCTCCCTAAGTATCTGGGCTATAGGTATATGCCACCATGCCAAGCTCAAAAGGTCTCAATTAATATGCTAAATCAAATTTGAACCAACATTTAATGATATCACAAACAAACCCAAAACAGTAAGGAACTAGCAAGCTCTTGATTAAAACCCAATTCCTAACAAGTTAGATGCTACCTTCAGATAGAGAGATCAAAATGATTATGAGAAGAGAAAAAACAACCTGTTAAGTTAAAATAACTAAAACATTCATTAATAAGTAATGTAAATCCAGCATTGCATTTTCCTCATTCATCCCTTTCTGACAAACCAGTTGAACTTCTAAAAACCAACAAAAAGAATGAGGTCAAACAAGCAGTGGTATTTTTAAGGCAATTATCAAGGTAGGACATTTCTACTCTCATGAAAACTTCATTGCCTTAAGAGCATTAAGATACCTTATTAAAAACATTTTGGTATATGATGTAATATTCATCAGCAGGTCCTTCCTCATTACAGCCCACTCTTTCAATTTCTGTAATTATGTATCTTTGCGTACGTTCCAAAAATTCCTTGTCACATCTACTAATGATAGGAGGAAGAACTGCATGTTTATGTATTTCTTGGATGGACATAAGTCACAATCTGCACACTTAGTCACCAAAGAAAAGTGAAATCTTGAACTGCTTTTGTAACAAAGCCAAAACTTTGATAATTCTGAAAGAAAAAAGACCATCAATTAATCTAAAGGCTTAAAAATTATAAATTGAATATTAATCTAAAACATCAGAAAAATTCCCATTGATCTGTTTTTAAGAAAAATATTTCAATCTATAAATTAAAAGGTCTATGCTACAGAGTAGGGTGTAATTCAGTAGTAGAGTGCTTGCTAGCATGTGCAAGGCCCTGGATTTAAGCACCAGCACAAAAGAAAAAAGAAAAAAAAAGATCTATGCTATTCTAGGCCATGTAGATATCTCTGGGATAGAAATACCAAATACTAGTTAATTAGGAGCTCTTCCTTTATTAACCAAGCACAACTCCTCATATGTATCATATAATAAATGGTTTAACGCAACACTTTCTTTTTCTTTATTTTTTTTTTTCAGTGCTGGGTTTCAAACTCAGAGCCTTGCACAGGCTAGACAAGTGTTCTACCACTGAGCTATACTCCAGCTCTCAATTTATTTTTAGATCACACTTTAATAATTATAAGGATACTTCAGGCAGCTAGAAAACTCAAATGAAGGTTTAATATTTTATTTGTTTCATATGGAAAAACGAGTTAGTAAGTCTCTTGATGACACAAATAAGGTCAGATAGGGCTGGGGTTGTAGCTTAGTGGTAGAGCGCTTGCCTTGCATATGTGAGGCTCTGGGTTCGATCCTCAGCACAACATAAAATAAATAAAAATAAATAAAGATATTGTGTCCATCTACAACTAAAAAATTTAAAAAAGGTCAGATATTCCCCTACCCAAGTGCCTACCTGGCCCAGTCACAGCATACAGTACCTATGAAAAATTAATTTTTATAATAGATTTTATAATGATTCGCATCCTTGATACAAAGGTGCTAACTGAAAAGTAAGAGGCAGGTCTTCTGTTAAAATCCATCCATCAAGGCTGGGGATAGGGCTCAGCAGCAGAACCTTTGTCTCACATGTGGGTTTGATCTTCAGCACTGGAAAAAAAAATCTATCCATCAATAATGTCAAAGATAACAGTACTTTGGGGAGTACAGTTTTCAAACAGCTTTTTACAATGCTTTTGGCAAAGAATCATTATTCAACTGAAATTGGATACAGAAGGTGATTCCTAAAATTCACTCACATTAACCCATTGAGTAGGCTGGGGTTGTAGCTCAGTGGTAAAATTCATGAATTTGTGTTTAGCATGTGCAGGGCCCTGGGTTCAACCCCCAGCACCAAAGCAAACAAAAAAACCATACTGTCATTGTATTAAACATCAGACAGAACAATTGGTTGGCTTTGTCTGGCAAAGAAAAACATTTTAACTTTTCTCCCAATTACAGGAATATATATCCATTGAATAAAATCTGAAAATATAAACCAAAGAAAACTATTGAAGAAAACAAAAACCATCCAGAATCCTATTACCCAAAGATAATCATTATATTTCCTACCAATCTTTATAAGCATTGGGTTCAAATTCTATATTCAGTTGTGTATTCTAATTTTTTCACTTATTTTTTTAATTCTTTTACTTGTAGATGGACACAACACCTTTATTTTATTTATTTATATGTGGTGCTGAGGCTTGAACCCAACGTCTCACACATGCTTGGCAAACGCTCTACCACTGAGCCTCAACCACAGCCCTTTTCACTTAATATTAAAAGCACTTTCTATTTTGTTGTTTTAAACACATAAGTTCTAAAGATTGCAAAGTATTTCATAGTATGATATTTTATAATTTGTTTAACCATCCCCCTAATTTTGGATAATTTCACTATTATAAATAATGCTGTAATGAATAAATGTCTAAACCAATTGTATGATGTTTTGGCAATCAAATTGACATCTGGTTATCTGAAATAACATATCTATTATTTTCTATACAACTATAGAAACTATATAACTATAAAACCTATATAACTATAGGTCATAAAAAAAAGAAGAGACAACCAAAATAATTTTGAAGTTTAAGAGACCAAATTAATCTTATACTGATGAGCTAGATAACAAAAAGTCAATTTAAACTACAACAACGTAATAACCCATAAATGGATAAACAGTTTTCTTAAATGAAAAAAAATCAGTGAATTTTTATTCATTCCTTGAGCCAGTATTTATTGTCTACTAAGCACCAAATAATATTTCACAGCTAGAAATTCAGCAATAAATAAGATAACGCCACTGGTTCCTTGGAGCTTAAGATGTAGTAGGGGAGACACACTAAAAACAATGGTTTTTTTTGTTTGTTTGTTTGATTTTTTTGTGTGTGGGGGGGTGCTGGGGATTGAACCCAGGGCCTTGTGCATGCAAGGCAAGCACTCTACCAACTGAGCTATATCCCCAGCCCCAACAATGTAATTTTAAATAGTAAAAGATAAAAATCAAAGGAGGAAGGAATGGATTTAATCACCAGGGAACAGATGGTCAAATCAGAATACCAGTGGCTTCCTATAACCCTTAGGATAAAATTCAAATTCCTTTACTTGACCTATTAATGCCCTTTAGGAACCAATGACTCTTTTTCTCTCTGATAAAATCTACCCTTTTCATGTTCTTGTCCTTCTCCCCATACCATTCTATCCTCACCCCTATGAATTTGCCCTTTTACCTTAGGATCTTGTATATTTCTCCCTTCCTGCAACTCTCATCTCACACTCATGTTCCCCTTTACCCCCAAAAATTCACACACACACACACACACACACACACACACACACACACTGCATCACTTGTTCTCCAGATCTCAGCCTACATGGTTTCAGGAAAGCTGCCCCGAATTCCCTCAATGGTCAGCGCCATTGCCGTTGTTCTCCTATAGTACTATGCACTTCCCTTGTCACAGAATTATTACACTGTTTTGTACAGTTTCTGTTTATAGTCTCTGCCTCTCCCGTTAGGATGTAAATTTGACAAGATCTGGAACCAAAATGTTCTCATCCCCATTACCCCTCCTCCACCCATGTGCACTCCAGTACATAGTAGTCCCTGGCAGAGTGGGTATTCAACAAATATTTGCTGAATCAGCAAACAAAATCTTGTCCCAGAAGACAACTGACTTATGGTGGCCTCAAACCAGGAAACAGTTAAATTATTTATTCCTTAGCATATTCAAAATGTCACTGAATTACATATATCAACTAAGATTGCCATTCACTTGTTTTTAAAAACAAGTCACCTGGATTCCCAATCAAGTCTGTTGGGTCTAGTAAATGAGCCACTGCTACAGAGCAGAGAAGGCAGTGTGAAGCAATGAGCAGAGTACACTGGACTACAGATGCCCACAGAGCATTTCACTAACCTGTGAGAGAGGAGAGAACATTAAGTAGAGAACATCCAGTGGAACAATATAGGGTAATGCTTAAGTTGTGCTATACTTACTTCTTCAATAAATACTGAGGGCATCTGTCACTATTCTAGGCACTGGAGATACCAAACTGACTAAAACAAAATCCCTAACCTCTCAAAAATTACATTCAAGTAGAGACAGACAACATATAAGTGAAAATATATGACAGATGCGGCAAATTGTATGAAGAAAAATAAGACATTATGGGGGATAGAGTACAGAAGCTGGGAGGGTGCTATTTTATGTAAGACAGGGTCAAGAAAGAGGAAAACCTTCACTGACTAGGTGACATTTCAGAAAACGTGTCATGCAGATTCCTAGAAGTGGTTGAGGTACAGAATAGTAAATCCAAAGGTCTCAAGGTGGGACAGTATATTTAAGGAACAAGAGGCCTGTGGGACTTGAAGAGAGAAAGGGAGAGAAGAGTTAAGGTCTGAGGTAGCTGTCACATCTTGCAGGATACAGGGCCACGAAGACAGGACTACTACCAGTTGATTTGGTGCCCCTTTCTCTGGGCAGTTTTGGCAAGAGGAATACTGAGCTGGATTGTGGCCTTCACTTGTTCCTGTGCTGGAGCAATAGTCTCACTTATAGGAATTTAGACTTTGCTCTGGGTGAGATAGAAAACAAAAGAATAGCAGCTGATTTACATTTTAAATTAAAAATGATAGCTGACTTTCATTTAAATTGCTGGGGCTGCTCTGTGAAGAATAGATAATTGGGATAAAAGAGTCAAAGCTAGAAGTATTTTTAGAAGTGTTCTGTACATATACTGAAAACAAAGCCAAGATTTCCTTACAGATTAAATGTGGGGTATAAAAGAGCAGTCAGGGATGACCATACAATTTCTGGCCTTAGCAAATGGGAAAATGAGAACTGCCATATATAGAGATGGGAAGTGCAATTTCCTGAGATCAGGAGTCTGTGACTTGTCTTTTACAGAGGCTGAATACATATCTAGATATGTGAATCAGAAGCTCTGGGAAATGGTCTGAGTGACAATTTATGAGTCTTCTGCATATAAATGGTATTAAAAAGTTATTAGAATGAGATAACTTTAGGAAATATAAATAAAGGAGAGATTTATAGACTGGGGTGCTCTAAGTCTAGAGGTCTCATGGATTAAAAGAGGTCTCATGGGTGAAAAATAAGACCCCGGAAAAGAGCTTTTAGTACAGTAAAAGTGTTAAGAGATACCCTGAAGTCAGGTGAAGAAAATGTTTTAAAGATTGAGGAAGTGATCAACTGTGTCAAATGTTGCTTACATCAAAGAAGATGAAATGACTAGCTTAGCAACATGGAATACACAAGTGCCTATTACAAGAGCTACTCCACCAGAATGGTGGGGCAAAAGCCTGACAGAAGCAACAATGAAGAGAAAAACTGAAGATAATGAGTATAAACAAGTCTTTGAGAGTTCTGTTGTAAAAGTGGAGACTAGTTGCTGGCTCACATGATCCTGCTGTCCAATGGTGACCTCTGCTGGCTCACATGATCCTGCTGTCCAATGGTGAGCCCTGCTGGCTCACCTGATCCTTACCTACCAATTAGATGAGGAATATTCCATGAAGAAGAAAAGAATGAGTTCTTCAC